TATCTAATTGATAAGGGAAAAGGGGGGTAAAGGACACTTACAAATAATTTCTTAGTATTTGGGGGGAGAAAGGACATGGAAAAGCAAATGACTTTAGGAAAAATACATGGGTTCTTAGGAAAATAGATGGTAGATAGGATAGTTTTGTGCCAGAGTCTATTTAGGTCTGTCTGGTGCTGAGTTAATCTCCCCTGCTTGCTCCCCAAAGAGATTTATGATAGAGTCTTTTGGGAGGCTCTGCTTTTAGGCAGATAGGGACTTCAGGAACTCAAATATTTAAAACTTATGCTACAGTGGCATATTCTGGAACCCTTTAGTATGGATGAAGTAGTTGGAATACTCAATTCTAATTACTATGTGAGTCAGTAGTCTTCTATTATGTTCCTTTTATATTCAGCTGAATCTGTTGAATATAGTATATAAAGGAAATCTTCAGGGGCTTTTACTAGTCTGGATTGGAATGTAACATTTTTTAAGTTTCCAATTACACAAAGGCATAGTGAAGAAAATGCATCATTAAATATGTATAATGCATCCTTTCTTAGGCTCTCCAATGAGCATAATTCTTACGTCACTCCCCTACCTAAAACCACAGTGATTTGATTCCAGGATGAAGTTTAAATTCCCTATTACAAACACCTTCAGCTCCAGTTTTGCCAGACTCTCGAGAATTACCCACCTTCCGTGCACTCCCGCTAACTTCTAGTAAGGCTCTCTTGCCAAGCGGGCTTGACACCATCTCCATCCATCAGGCAAACATGTCCGTTGTTGTGCGGCCAGGGCGTGCTGTGCACACCTCCAGGACTCTGCTTTACCGCACTTAAAAGACTTGAACTCGATGGATGTAAGCCTCTTAAGGGCTCAGTCTGTTTTGTTTGGTATACTTTGTGCTTATCATGAACACTCAATATCTGAATAAACTGCTAAACCTATTTTCTCCTAGTGATTATAAAATTAAAGATGTCCTTTAGAAAAATGTATGGGTCCAAATGTAATACTCGTGTCACACTGTTTAAAAAGTATTCTATGAATCAAAGGCACATAACCAGTTGTTATTGGAATTTTACTTGACACAATATTCACATTACACGACACATTCCTTCAAGTTGCAAGATCCTAATTTTTTAAGTATAATTGAAAGGTGGAAAATCTTAACAGCATATTTTGAATTTAATATGTTGCCACCTCATATGACAGTATCCAGCCAATGCAAATGAAACTAAACTTTGGCCGGGGTGCAGAGGACATATTTTTGCTACGCAGTTGTGACATACCGGCTGCTTGGACGAGTACACAAACAGCCCGCATTAATGTGTAAGCGCTTACACACGTGCCACACAAGGGGTTTACCTAAGAAACTACGCCGGAGAAGTACCTTGGCAGCATTCCTGTAGGGCAGATCAAGTTATGTTCGCTAATGCTACTCTCTCAGGAAACGTGCAAATACAAGAAACCCGGGGAAATGCTCTGTAAGAGCGTTGCGGTTCGCAAGCTGCGCTCACAGCACAGGGACTTGCTCCTCCGTCTACCCCGGCCGCGCTGCTCACGGCGCTGCCCACGTGCTTCTCAAAGCGGCCCGGCCAGCCGCGTCACGTGACACCCCGCAGGCCCCCTCCTCGCATCTGTGACCTCCGCAAAGGTGCCTGATCCTTTTCTTTCTTTTTCTTTTTAGAGAAAGCTGGCCCCAATATCTAATGAGAGAGAGAACAAGAACGTATCTTTTCTAGTTTTTATGCCTAATCTTTTCCTCCCCCTTCTGAGCAATCTGACTGCAGGCACTTTTTCTTTTTGATCGAGCGTTTCCCTGGGCAGCTCCGTGCTGGGTCTGGGTCCTCCCGGGGAACAGGCGCCGGCCGTGTGCGTCAGCGGCAACCGCCGTGTCCCTTCGCCGCGGCACCGCGCTCCTCAGGGCCTGCGCTCTAATGTCCTTTCCCCGGTGTGCCCTGCTGTGGGCTCGGCTCCCGGCGGGGCGCCGCGCCGGACACCGGGCGGCCGTCTGCTCCGCCCTCCGCGCTCACGGCGGGCCGGTCCCCGGGCCTCTGGGGCGCACTCCCGCCGTTGCCTCCGCCTCGTCTTCTGCGTCCGGAGGTTCCAAAGCCCCCAACACGTCCCTGTTTGTGCCGCTGACGGTGAAACCTCAGGGCCCCAGCGCGGATGGCGACGTGGGGGCCGAGCTCACCCGGCCCCTGGACAAGAGTGAGTGCCGGGCGGCGGGGTGTCTGTCCTGCAAGGTCCCCAGAGTCGCCAAAGGTCCCTCAGTCCTTTGTTGCTTGTCCCAGGGGGGTCCACCGAATGACCAGGATACGAAAGGCCAGGGGTCCGGTCTTCATGGCCAGGGATAAGAAAGGGCCGGGGGCTTTGAACCTCCTGACCAGCCATATGCCGGAGAGGAAAGGTCACTGGGGCTGAGGTCCTGTCTTCCCGGCTGTGCCCAGCATCCTTATGGGTTCATGGCTGTCGGCTTGCCTACCACCCTCCCAGGAATGCAGTGTGTGGCTGGATCAGTAAAATGTTTCTCTCTACAGAATCATGCGGTGATATTTTAATATGTCCAAAGACAGTACAATCTCAGCTTGATTAATATGAAATATTTTTATAAAATATTTAAGATGTTATTGATTCATAGTGGCATGTTGCTTGGCAGGCATCTAATTCGACCTCCCCCGCAGCACAGTGATTTCTCCGCCATCGCCTTGGAAACGCGGTCATTTAAGTCTTGAGTACTTTTCATGGACAAGGAGCCGGCACTCTCGTGAGCCAGTCCCTTTTCGCTGTTCTGGTTGTTAGGAGGCTCTTGTATAAATTCCACTGGAATCTGCTTCCCTCATTCCCCGTTGACTTTAGTTATGCCATCTAGGACAAAATGAGTATCACCTGTCCTCCCTAAAGCCATCTTCTTCAAGATGAACACAGGAGCTGCCCCCTGGTGGTCAGTGCACTCCTACAGGCGGAGTGCTGCTCAGCCAGAAGCCCTGAGTCTGGCTCACGGCTGGTGAGCGCAGTGGTGGTGGCGGTAGCCTCTCCCGCCTCTGGGGCAGAGCTAAGGATGTCTGACTGCCTGCAGGGAGCAGGCTTAAGCCATCACTTGGAGTGCGGGTGAATTTCCCGCCAAAATATAAGATGGCTCTGTCTTTTGGTTTTGTTCCATCCACCAAAAGGGTGGATTACAAACAAATATTTGGTAATACGCAGTTACAATCGGCCCGTGTTTACACGTTTCCCGCACTCCACCGCAAATCTATATGAACCGAGTTAAAGACGGCTCCCGCGGAGTACGCGCAATTCACGCGAGCCGACTTAACTCGTTTCCCGCACTCCAAGTGTTAAAGATCATCCCTGGGTGCTTTATTTTCTTTCTTATTTATTGATTGACACACACGTTGTTATTGATTTGAGAGAGCGAAAGAGAGGGGGGTAGAGAGAGATAAACATGGATGAGAGAGAAGCTTCATTGATTGGCTGCCTCCTGCACGCCCCCCATTGGGGACTGAGCCCAACCCAGGCATGTGCCCTGACGGGGAATGGAACCGTGGTCTCCTGGTTCATGGGTGGACACTCAACCACTGAGCCACGTAGGCTGGGCATCCTGGCTCCTCTAGTTATTTGCATAAAAGCATATTGGTCTGGTCCTTGTAGTGTTGGTTGTCTTTCTAGATACCTTTTAGCCGCTCACTATTAGATGTTCATAGTAGTTGTAAGTAGACAGAATAGAACATGGTTATGTACAAGTGGCCTGATGGAGGCTGGAGGCAGTGTCCAACCCTGTAGCACCTTGCTTACTCCTCTGCGGTGGAACAGCAATGTTGCATGGTTTGACTTTATAATTTTTTAGGCGTTCCATCTCACTATTAAGTCAAAAAGAGCTTGTGACCAAATAAAACCTTTAAGTTCTTGCAACATTCAGTAGACTGCCACCTTGAGTGTTAGGACTTCAGGTTTCTTTTGTTTTTTTAGGCATTTCTCTATTTGGGAAACATATTTTAAATTTTGATATGTTTCTTCCAGATGAAGTAAAGAAGATCTTAGACCAGTTTTACAAGAGGAAAGAAATTCAGAAACTGGGTGCTGATTATGGACTCGATGGTAATGCTAATGACATTCCATTTGAGATATTTTATTACTTTTTAGATTATAGCTTTGTGAGTATGGTGTAGCACCTGTGTGTCCTGGACATCCTATCCTATATAATAAAAGGCTAATATGCAAATTGACCAAAATGGTGGGTCGACTGGTTGCCATGACGCGCACTGACCACCAGGGGGCAGACACTCAACACAGGAGCTGCCCCCTGGTGGTCAGTGCACTCCTACAGGCGGAGTGCTGCTCAGCCAGAAGCCCTGAGTCCGGCTCACAGCTGGTGAGCGCAGCGGTGGTGGCGGTAGCCTCTCCCGCCTCTGGGGCAGAGCTAAGGATGTCTGACTGCCTGCAGGGAGCAGGCTTAAGCCATCAGTCGGACATCCCCCGAGGGCTCCTGGACTGTAAGAGGGCGCAGGCCGGGCTGAGGGCCCCCTCCCCCCACCCCCAGTGCACCAATTTCATGCTTTGGGCCTCTAGTACGTACATAGTTGTGATTGGAGGATATCCCTGATCTCTGCTTCTATCTGAGCAGGAGATTGGCAAGATGTACGTGGTGAGCCAGACATATAGCAAAGAGCTGTGTGTTCAGCTTTCCTTCATGTTGTGCTAGGATTTCAGTTTTGGCCCAGATCAGATAAATCAAAAAAAAAGAGGATACTTTGATTAATTAGGTGTGATGTGTATATGTACTTTTTAAAATGGCAAATGAGATGAAAACTAAGCCCTGCCTATTTTGATTTTGTATTTCCTGCAGCTCGTCTCTTCCACCAAGCTTTCATAAGCTTTAGAAATTATATCCTGCAGTCTCATTCCTTGGATGTGGACATTCACATTATTTTGAATGATATTTGCTTCAGTGCAGGCAAGTGTTTATAGAGATTTTTTAAAATCCTGTTGAACATACTTTCTGTTTCCTTCATGTTTATTTCTGTAGTTGGGGTTTATTTGTGTAAAATAGGCCCTATTAACATTTTCTGTAAATAATTTAGTGCTTGCATAGGAGGCTGTCTGGGTCCTGTTGCTTTTATATGGGTCCCTGAGCTAGTTATTAAATCCCCCATATGTCTTAGACTGGAGGCAGGTTTGATCTGTTACCATCTGCTCTTCACTGTGTGCTAATATAGGCCCCAGTGGGATGAACTCTCATACAAGGTAGAATTAATGCATAGCAGATTCCATCTGTTTCTGCCACTGTTTCTTTACTGCATCAGGACAGAGTTCTTGCCGTAAAAGAAAAAAGTAAGACCATCATTATTTTGTTCCCATAGGCAGCTTGGTTTTGATTATATATTTTAAATGTATTTGATTATTAGACCTTTACTCTGTGCCAGGAACTGAGGTAGAACCTGGATACAAAGCAGAATGGGCCACAGCCTCACCCTCAGAGCCACTAAGGTGTGGAGACTTCCTGCTGAGAAATCAGTTCACGTTCATGTTTTACAGTGGTCTCTGTAGTTTAACAAGTGTTTGCACCTGCATTTCTTGAACCACAGGCCTTCTTTCTAATGTATATTTCCTGGTTCTTTATTTTTTAATTTAACTTTTACCAATGCTGACCTTTACCTGCTTGCATTGGATGAGTAGAACATGGTGGATGGCAACCAGTTTTCTCTTTTCCTAGAAAATATAAGTGAAATTGGGAGGAACATGTAAGACAAAGCATATCTCAGAAAAGGGTAGAGTTCCTTGCTCCAGGGTTTTTCTTTTTATCCTGGTAATGTCCCTGAAACTTAGCTCACTAAGAAAAAAGTGTAGTTATGGCTAACATGTAGATTGCACCTGTTAATGCAGTGTTTTGTTTTCCAGCTCATGTGGATGATTTATTTCCATTTTTCTTGAGACATGCAAAACAGATATTTCCCGTGTTGGAATGTAAGGATGATCTACGTAAAATCAGTGACTTAAGAATACCACCTAATTGGTTAGTTTTTTCATTTGTGGATTTGAAATTTTCAGTTTCTAATCTTGGGAGATTATTATTTTTTTAAATTATATTCTGGATGGTAAGATATGAGGAGTCTAGATTGTGTTTTCCCTAGGAAAAGGCTGTTAATTCTGGCAGGCAATCAACTGCTGTCTCCCCTTATCCTGCCAGCTCGGTTTTAAGACTTATTACTGCACATCTACAGTAGCCCTCACCTTAGGGTGTTGTCCTTGTCATTCAGGTGTGGCCTTTCTGGTGTCTCTGCTGAGTGCCGGGGTGGTAATGAGTTCTCTCACAACCACTGTTGCAGAACTCCAATGTCTCCTAGTACTTTGCCACCTCATTGAGACTGTCTGCTCAGACCCTTAGCAAGCTATTCTCTGCTAGGTGCTGCCCATGTTCAGCCCAGCCCTGGGGCAAGGACCCACAGGGAGCTCCCACACAGGCTTCAAGGCTCCCTCTTTACTGCACCCTTTTTCCTTCCACACTCTGTTCTTTAACTTTCAGCTGCTTCAGCCACGGAGAATTTGATCTCGGCTGCTCAGCTCAGTGGGACCATCATACTCTGCTTGGGTTCCACCTCCTTACTTCCTACTGGGTGCAGTAGGGCTCATCTCAAGTGTTCCCTTCTTCTGGGCCTGCCGTCCTGCACTGCCTGTTGTCCATGTCCCCAAGCAGCTGCTGCATATATTTTGTCCAGTTTTGTACTTGTTTATGGTGGGAGGGCAAGTCCAGAAACAGAAGACTCAGTCATTATATTGTATACGTTGAAATTCAGAAGCCTGGGAACATTTGCTTATGTCACGTGTTGAGAGCTGTGGAAGTGATGTGAACATACCTATGGAGCTAATAGTAGTTTACATTTATTTTAAGTAACTACAGAGGAAAAAGAATTTGTACAGTGGTAAAACTATCCAATAAATTAATTTGCATTTGGATTTTTCCTCTAGTTAGTAAATGTCATTCTTGGAAAGCAGTCATTATTTTAGTGTCGATATGACATGTGTCATTTAGTTAATTTTTGAAAAGATGTTACCTTGTAAATGTTAAGAGAATGTTTCATTGGAATTTTTTTCAATTGGGAACTTTGCCAAGATGGATTTTGAAATTAATAAGGTTAAGCTGTTTGCCTACTTATGTTTTAGGTACCCAGAAGCCAGAGCCATACAGCGGAAGATAGTATTCCATTCAGGCCCCACAAACAGTGGAAAGACTTACCATGCAATCCAGAAATACTTGTCAGCAAAATCTGGAGTGTATTGTGGTCCTTTAAAATTACTGGCACATGAGATCTTCGAAAAGAGTAATGCTGAGGTCAGTATATTACCAAGTATTTGCTCCTTGTTAATTTTGTGTGTGGGGGTTGGCTAACAAGGAAGATGGGAGGGTGGAGTGCATATGTAGTATGCCCTTCATTAACAAAAATTGCCATATTTCATTGCACCTAAGAAGCCATCAGTTGTAAGATGTGCCATTATTTTATGTACAGTTGAGAAATAAGAACTGCCAAGTGAACTCTGACATGCCATCAGTTGTTAAGATGTATCCTGTAATAATGTGCGTATTAGAATGAATGAAATATGTTGTTACAGAATATTTCACATATTCAGAGATATGCTGAGAATAACGCAAATAATCTGAACTCACTACCCAATTCCTGTCAGATTCTAACATTTTGCCATACTTGTTTTATTTACTTTTTTTTAAGAAATAAAATATTGATATAGTTGAAACTCTGTGAACCCCTCCTTTGCCCCTCAGAGTTAACCACTACTCTGTTATGATGTTTAATTTACCCTTTGTTAGACTGGCCCTCTGATACTGTCAACTAGAACCAATGACAAAGACTGAAGCCACCTTTTCAAACCTGAAAAGGACTGAATGCCCTGTGGTCTAAGGCATTGTTTTACTAAATGGGCTAAAATTTGGTTCATTGTTTTATTATGACTGTAATGTGGGATAAACCAGTTTTGGTAGGTAATTTGTATTCTCTATTTTTTTGTTCTGAATAATTTATGTAATTTTCATACATAATTATCTCTTTATCCATAAATACTTAGAAAGTATTTCCTCAGACCAAAGACTTTCTTTATATAACCGCAGGATACTTATCCAAAGCGGGTCATTTGGTATTGATAGACTACTGTTATTAAATCCATACTCTATGTTCAAGTTTTGCCAATTGTCCAATAACAATACTCCCCCTTGCCTTCACTGCCCCCACCTCCAGGTTCTGTTCAGGGACTCACACTTTTTTCATTCTCATATCTCTAGTTTCTATTAATCTGAGGCAATTTCTTGGTCTTCCTTTGTCTTTCGTAACCTTTACGTTTCGGAAGACGACTACAGGTCAGTTGTGTTGTAAACCGTCCCTCAGTTTGGATATGTCTGATGTTGACTCATGATTAGTTTCAGGCCACTGGGGAGACCAGCTGTCCAGTTGGCCTGGAGTTTCCCAGATTTAGCACCAGAAGTCCTTCACCCTTGGGAACACCTCAGTCCTGGGCGAACCAGGGTGGTTGATCACTCTGATACACCATAGCATTGATATTGGTCTTTCTCAAGGAATTATATTGGGAAGACTGTACAGTTTTAAATTTTATTTATAATATTTTTGAATATAGAAATAATTCATGTTCATTTTAAATTATTAAACTGATAGTATAGAAACATACAAAGTTAAAAAGTGAAACTCCTATAATTTCTCATGCTTTTGTTACCTGAGAATTTAGCTGCCTTGAGGTGTTTCCAAGTTTTATGTAGGTTTTTTAATAAAATGCTGTCACAAACAGTAAGATTTCAGCTTTTATTTTCTATTAAAAATATTTGTTAAAGGATTGAGAATATTTTGTTTCAGGTATTTGACAAATAAATTTGATCATAATGGAGAGAATACTTTATCAAGCATTCAAAATTTCTTTTCAAAGTGAAAGTAATTCCAGGTTTCTTTGTCATCCTAGGGTGTGCCATGTGACCTGGTAACAGGTGAAGAGCGCGTGTCAGTAGAGCCAAATGGGAAACAGGCTGCCCATGTTGCTTGTACTGTTGAGATGTGCAGTGTTACAACTCCTTGTATGTACACACTATTTAAAACAGCATTTTTGAAAAATTTTAAACAGTGATGAACATATGAAATGTTTTCTATTGTGAAAAAATTTAAGTTGAGACAAAGAAGAGAATAATACAACAAAAAGTATCTACTATCACTAATGAATGCCTAAACTTTCTGTCATGTTTGCTTTTTTTTTTTTTTTTATTTCAGAGGAAGGAAAAGGGAGAGAGAGATAGAAACATCAGTGATGAGAGAGAATCATTGATCGGCTGCCTCCTGCACGGCCCCTTTTGGGGATGGAGCCCGCAACCCAGGCATGTGCTCTGACTGGGAATCGAACCCGGGACCCTTCAGTCCGCAGGCCGATGCTCTGTCCACTGAGCCATGAATAGGGCTGTCATGTTGGCTTTTTTTTTTTTATTAAATATATTTTTATTTAGAGAGGAAGGGAAAGGGAGAGAGAAGTGGAAACATCAATGATGAGAGAGAATCATTGATCGGCTGCCTCCCCTACTAGGGATTGAGCCCGCAACCCAGGCATGTGCCCTTGACCGGAATCAAACCTGGGACCCTTCAGTCTGCAGGCTGATGCTCTATCCACTAAGCCAAACCAGCTAGGGCTCATGTTTGCTTTTTTTTTTTTTTTTAAATATATATTTTATTGACTTTTTTATAGAGAGGAAGGGAGAGGGATAGAGAGTTAGAAACATCGATGAGAGAAACATCGATCAGTTGCCTCCTGCACACTCCCTACTGGGTATTTGCCCGCAACCCAGGTACATGCCCTTGACCAGAATCAGACCTGGGACCCTTCAGTCCGCAGGCCGATGCTCTGTCCACTGAGCCAAACCGGTTAGGGCTCATGTTTGCTTTTTAATATTTCCCTTTTTCTCTTAAAAGAACAAAAATGTTAATAGCTATGAAGTTATCTTTGTACTAATCCTCAGTTCAATTCTTCCCCTTCTTTTTGTTTTCAGTATTGTTTGTATTAGTTTTAGGTGTACAGCATAGTAGTTAGGCAGTCATATACTTTCTTTAAAATATATTTTTATTGATTGTTAGAAAGAGGAAGGGAGAGGGAGAGAAACATCAAGAAACGGCATTGATCGGCTGCCTCCTGCACACCCACTACTGGGGTCAAGCCCGCAACTTGAACATGCACCCTGACCAGGAATTGAACAGGTGATCTCTTGGTGCATGGGTTGGCGCTCAACCACATCTGCTGGGCAGCAGTCATATACTTTATATAGTGTTCTCCCTGATATTTTCAGTACCCAACTGATACCAATTAATTACACTATTATTGACTCTGTTTCTGTGCTGTACTTCATATCCCCGTGACTATTTTGTAACGACCCATCTGTAGTTCTCAATCCCTTCACTTTTTTTGACCCGGTCCCCTCATCTCCCTCTCCTCTGCCAGTCATAGTCTGTTCCCTGTATCTATGAGTCTGTTTCTGTTTTGTTTGTTCATTTATATTGTTCTTTAGATTCCACATATATGTGAAATCATATGGTATTTGTCTTTCTCTGACTGACTTATTTCACTTAGCATAACACCAGTGCTGTCACAAACAGTAAGATTTCATTTTTTTTTTATGGGCATTATTCATATTTTGATCTTTTCTTTTTTCTTTCTTCTTAAAAAAGACCCTTTAACATTTCTTGTAATACTTGTTTGGTAGTGTTGAACTCTAGTTTTTTCTTGTTTGTATATGCCCAGATGCAATAAGTAAATTTTAATCTGATGGTTTTTCAGTATAAAAATAACTTTCTTTTGTTTCTTAAATGTCTTTGCAGGCATATTACATTTTTAAAATTTTTAATGTGCTCTTAACTCCTTGGTATTTTGAGAAGAAAATTAATATAATTAATATGACTTAAAAAATAATAAAGTAATATGGTTGGAAGCATTAAAATAAAATTCGGCACTAATTTTTGCCATAGTGATGAGCTTAAGTTCCCTAAGAATGAGCATTGCTGGAACTCAGGGGATTGCACTTTCCACTCCACTTTCTGCTCCTCACACCTGTCTGGGCTCCTGTGGCAGAGATGCTTCATTTACTGTGGGCTATCTGCTCCTGGTTCCTGGGAGCATAGATGATACTTTTTCCTCATTCGGCAGATTCTCCAGGCTGCCCCTGAGATTGCAGAAATAGGACAAATGAACCTGCTTAATGTGTGAGGCAGTGCAGTAGAGTGGTTAACAGTCCGGACTTTGGAGCTGGATGGCCTGGGTTGGAATTCCATGTTTTTTTGATCTTACACTTACCTGTACACACTGTATCCTTGGGCCATGACTTAACTTCTCTGGGCCTCAGTTTATTCTTCTGTAAAATGAAGAAGATGACGACTTTCCTTTTATATTTGTTGTGAGGATTAAATGAGTTATAATTGTAAAGCCCTGAGAACAAGACTGCCAGGAAAGAAGCACTGAGTGACCAGTGGGGATGATGACTGATGTTGGTGTTGTAATTTGTTTGCAATACTATTTCAGTACTTATATTGCTCATGATAACTTTTTATTTTAAGATGAAGTGGCTGTGATTGACGAAATTCAAATGATTAAAGACCCAGCCAGAGGATGGGCCTGGACCAGAGCACTTCTAGGTTGGTGGTCTTAATGCTTGAAACCTGTGCTTTGTGACATCTGCACTGAGATGCATTATCTGCTGGACGTTGCCAAGTAGAGCCAGCTAGATTCTTTCTTTTTGACACAAATCAAACAAAAAGTCAGCGAAATGTTCAGTTTTATTTTCTAAATATTATTTAAATAATGGGGAGTCTTTTTCCTCTTATGAAATTAGCATAACCACTTAATTAAAGTTAAAATATTCAAATCTCACCATATGTACAACCATTATTAAGATTTGGTGTGTTTCATGCCAGTTTTGTGACTATATAATTTTGTATCTTTTTTCAGTTCTGTTGTTTCCAAAAATTTTTTGGAATAACATTATTATGTTATTAATAATGCTGCAGTAAAAATCCTTGTGGCCATAGCTTTTTATTCATATATTTTATTATTTCTTTAGGATAGGCTCCTGGAAGTGGAGTTTTTGAGGTCCGTGGACATGAATGAATATTTCTAATGCTTGGAGTGAATTAAAATTTTAAAAAAAATTATTGATGGGGCAGGGAGATAGAAAGAGAAACTTTAATTTGTTGTTCAACTTATTTATGTTCTCATTGGTTGATTCTTTGTAGGTGCCCTGACAGAGATCGAACCTACAACATTGGTATATTGGAACGATGCTCTAACTAAACTGAGCTATCTGGCCAGAGCTGGAGTGAATTTTTGATCAGCATATTGTAGGACAGGTGTTCTCAGATTTAAAAACAAACAGCTGAACTCTTCCAGATAAAGAGTATTCATTGAAACCTTAATGTAAAATGGATGAAAGCGGATCTGCTAAGGGGTAAGGAGATTGGAGTTCCTTCTACCCTCCAGCCCCAGCCTCTGAGGCACCTCCCTGATTCCATGGAGGCTAATGTTCAGTACTAATCACAAAATGCCAGGTACTAGTCCTGGCTGACATCACCCTCTACACTCAACACCTTGGCCAAAGCAATTTAAAAGCCCCGATGTTTATAAAATGTAGTTAATCTTTGCCCAGTATATTGTTTTGAGGTTTGAATTAAAGAGGTAATATTTATGAAAACATTTGGTAATGTTGTAAAGCAATAGAAACAAACTTAAAATATTTTTGCTAGCCCTGGCCTGGTGGCTCGGTTGGTTGGAGTGTCGTCCCATACACCAAAAGGTTATGGTTTGATTCCTGGTCAGGGCACATACCTAGGTGGGGGGTTCCCTCCCCAGTCATGAACGAAGGGGAGGCAACAGATTGAATTTTCTCTACATCAATGTTTCTCTCTCTAAAAATCAATTTTAAAAATGTTCTCGGGGGAGGATTAAAAATACATATATTGTTTGCTGTGTAAAGTGTTGCATATTTACTTTTATGTCTTTAAAATTTTTTAACTTGTGATTTGCGTTTAACAGGACTGTGTGCTGAAGAGGTTCATTTATGTGGAGAAGCTGCTGCTATTGACCTGGTTACTGAGCTTTTGTACACGACTGGGGAGGAAGTGGAGGTACTCGATTATATGCTTTGTTCTCAAGATGGCATAGCAAATAGCCCAGAGCACCCAGGCAGTGGCTTCATAGGCCCCAGGTAGTGGTAAATCAGAACTTAACTAGAAAGAAAGCTTTATTTCCTCGTAGTTGACTAGGTAATACATAATTGACTTAAACTCATATTCGGAGTTCTGACAGAGTGTCCATCTTACCCTAAGTCTTCTAAAAGTACAGGAGATTCTTCATATTCTCTTGACAAAACCTTTTGGAGTTTCATCAGATCTCTTTAGAATTAAATAAGTCAGGAATATTGGAAGTTTGAGGTTCAGCAAAAGTTTGTGCTTTTTATTTTTCTTTATTTTTATTGATTTTAGAGAGAGGAATGGGGGGAGGGAGAGAAAGAAACATCCATGTGAGAGTGAAACATCTATCGGTTGCCTCTGCCTGACCAGGGGTCGAACCTGCAACCTGGGTATATGCCCTGATGGAATCAAACCTGCCACCTTTCGGTGTACGGGGACATTGCTCCAACCAACTGAGCCACACTGGCCAGGGCAAGAGCTTGTGGTTTTTAAAGTCTCGGATGTCAGGTAATTGGGGCCTTTGATATACATCTAATTGCTAGAAATAGTTTGTATCCCTTTTCAAATTCCTAGAGTAAGAAGTAATTGGTTTTCTTTTAATCCTACTTTTTGTTTTCTTTACCAGAGTTCTATAATAAGATGAAGAAATATTTAAAAATGGGTCCATTACTTTAGTTTTGTGTTCAGCTTTCAGGGAGAGAAATGTAGTAGAAGAAATTCTGGGTTCTAGTCTTGGCTTTGCTGTTACTAGTTTTGTATTCTTAGGCAGATTGTAGACTGCTAGAACTGGGAAAATCCTCTTCAGACCTGATCTTTTAGAAAAGAACAGTGAATAACCCTTCTGAACTTACCAAGTTGCCATGAGAATCAAATGTAGCCCTAGCCAGTTGCTGAGTGGTTAGTGTTCTCCCTTGGACTGAGGAGTTGTGGGTTCCATTCCTGTCAAGGGCACACACCTTGATTGCAGGCTCGATCCCTGGCCCCGATCAAAGCATGTGCGGGAGGCAACCAGTTGATGTGTCTCTCTCACATCGATGTTTCTCTCTAAAATCAAATGTATATGAAAGTGCTTTGAAAAATTTATGAAACACTGTTTAGCATTTAGTTAATTTAGAAATAGCAATGAATATTAAAATAAATGCTTTTCTGTATTTCCCTTTGAAAAACAATGGACCTTGTTTTTAGCTTTTAGCAAGTTTTTCACTTAATTGTTAGTCACATGAAATTGAGTTTGGTGTGTTATTTTACAATATCATGTCTTTATTAAAGGTTCGAAACTATACAAGGCTTACACCCATTTCTGTGCTGGATCATGCATTAGAATCTTTAGACAACCTTCGGCCTGGGGACTGCATTGTCTGTTTTAGCAAGAATGATATTTATTCTGTGAGTCGACAGATTGAAATTCGGGGATTGGAATCAGCTGTTATATATGGCAGTCTCCCACCTGGTAATTACTGGCTTTCATCGTGAGAGAATTGTAAATCTTATTTTTGCCATTTATGTTGAATATGTATAGAAAACACAGTAAAAGATATTGAATTAAGATGCTTGATATATTATTTGTTATAGGTCATATAAAATAAGTATTCCTCTAGTTTATCTTGGTGGGGATAGAAATATTTTAATTATTTCTAGCTCTTATTATTTGCTGTTATTTTGAATTTTGAATTAAAGAGTTTTTTACAAAAATGTCATTACCCATGAACTTGAGTAATATTCCGCAAATTGTAGTCCTGAAATCTGTTACTACATGTCTTCAGAAGTGAGAAGGCTAGTGTGGTGTGGGATTGTGTTGCTGTATGTGGGGATATTTAAAAGAGTGGAAATAAAGGATAAGTAGCTCTTTGAGGATATAAAGAAATAACCTTGAAACAATAAGAATTTTATCCATAAAAATAGAAAGTAGGGGGTGAGGGTTTTTAAGATACACTTAGTGTGATACAGTAAAAGATTGAGAACACTGATTTAACATAAACTTCTTATTTTAGGGACCAAACTTGCTCAAGCAAAAAAGTTTAACGATCCTGATGATCCATGCAAAATCCTGGTTGCTACAGATGCAATTGGCATGGGACTTAATTTGTAAGTGATTTTTTTTTTTAACAATCATGGATAGTCAGTGGGTTAGATGGCAATTAAAAATTTTCTAATTGGCATTAGAATGACCACTTTGGAGAATGGGTATTACCGTATAGATCTGAGATTTACCTTGCTTACACCTGGTAAGGGAGTAAAAAGAAAGTATCACACAGCTCGGACTTTGAGTGCTGCTCCCTGCCACTGCTATCCTGTTATATTACCTTACTTTACTTTTAGTTTCTCAGTTGACAAGGTGTGTGAGTGCCTACTGTGCTTGTAGGGCTAGCTATTATCTGTAAGGATAACAGTACTAAGCCTAAATATTCCTCTCTGGGGAATGAATCAAAAAAACTATTCAAACTGTTAATATCCAACTTTTTTTTTTTTTTTTAATATTTTATTGATTTTTCACAGAGAGGAGGGGAGAGGGATAGAGAGTTAGAAACATCGATGAGAGAGAAACATCAATCAGCTGCCTCCTGCACACCCCCCACTGGGGATGTGCCCGCAACCCAGGTATATGCCCTTGACTGGAATCGAACCCTGGACCCTTCAGTCCACAGGCCGACGCTCTATCCACTGAGCCAAGCCGGCCAGGGCAATATCCAACTTTTAAAAGCAGCTTGAGCCCTAGCTGGTTTGGCTCAGTGGATAGAACGTTGGCCTGCGGACTAAAGGGTCCCGGGTTCAATTCCGGTCAAGGGCACATGCCCGGGTTGCAGGCTCCATCCCCAGTAGGCATGCAGGAGGCAGCCAATCAATGATTCTCTTTCATCTTTGATGTTTCTATCTCTCTGTCTTCCTCTCTGAAGTATAAAAATATATTTTAAAAAAAAGGCAACACTATGAGAAAGAACACTATGTGGTTTATTTGTTAAAAAAAAAAAGTTATCTTCTGTAGCCTTATTGAGGTATAATTTACATACTATACAGTTCACCCATTGTAAAAGTACAAGTTGATAAATTCTAGTAAATTTACACAGTTGTTGAAAAATACGATTTAAAGGGAAGAAAGAATTACCAACAAACCTCTTTTTCTTATTTTGAAAACAGTGGGCAAGGTTGCAAGTAGTCTAACCTGGAATTGAGTGAGCGTTTCTGCAGTGACCCAGTCATGGAGAGTTTTTCGTCTGTGAGATCACTTTTATTTCTATTTCAGGAGCATAAGAAGAATTATTTTTTATTCCCTTATAAAGCCCAGTATCAATGAAAAGGGAGAGAAGGAACTAGAACCAATCACCACTTCTCAAGCCTTGCAGATTGCTGGCAGAGCTGGTAGATTCAGTTCGAAATATAAAGAAGGAGAGGTTACAACAATGAATCGAGAAGACCTCCGTTTATTAAAGGAGATTTTGAATAAGCCTGTCGATCCTATAAAGGTAAGGTTAATTACTCCCCTTTGGAGGACAGTCATGCCATCCTTCACCCTCCCTCCAGACTCTTGCCTCAGACACTTGGTAACAAAAGAGAAATTTTATACCATGAAAATTATGTCAAGAAAGCACTACTTGCCCTAGCTGGTTTGGCTCAGTGGATGGAGCATCGGCCTGTGGACTGAAGGGTCCTGGGTTTGATTCCGGTCAAGGGCACATGCCTGGGTTGCAGGCTCGATCCCTAGTGGGGGGGCATGCAGGAAGCAGCCAGTCAATGATTCTCTCTCATCATTGATGTTCCTATCTCTCTCTCTCCCTCTCCCTTCCTCTCTGAAATCAATAAAAATATATTAAAGAAAGAAGGCAAGCAAGCCCTACTTTATTGCTTTGGAGGAGAATAGAGACTCCTGGTTGAGAATGGTGTGCAGGTGAAAAATCCAGATTGAAACGTTAGTGAACCTAGCTTCCTTTCATTCTTCCTATAACCAAGCAGAAGGTGGGGGCAGGGGCACAGTTGCTTCAGGTGGGCACTCAGCTATGTAAGCAGACTGAAAACTTGTCAGGAGCTTGAATGTAGAAGAAACCCTTAGTGTGGGGCAAAAACAGCACTAAGCAACACAATTGTGAGTCAATAAGGACAAATGTAGTTAATGAGACAGAAGTGTACATATTTTCAACAAACTAACTGTTACAGTTTTTAAAAAATATGTTTTTATTGATTTCAGAGAGAGGAAGGGAGAGGGAGAGAGATAGAAACATCAATGATGAGAGAGAAACATCAATTGGATGCCTCCCTTGCGCCCCCTACTGGGGATGGACCCCGAAACCCAGGCATGTTGCCTGACCATAATCAACTGTGACCTCCTGGTTGATGCTCAACCAACTGAGCCACACCAGCTGGGCCTAACTGTTACAATTTAAAGTTGCCTGGAAATCTTTCTAAATGTGGCTCTTTTCATTTTTCAGTGGCCCTGGGCAAAGGGGAATGTAAGTGAGATAACACAGGAAAAGTTTTTAGAGGGAAGCTGAGGCTGAAATAATTTCTGTAGCTTTTGTTGAGTGCAGTTGGTAATGACACACCATTTCCCTCGTGTGCACAGAACCTCATTTCTTGTGCTCATTCTCTTCCTCCGACCGTGATTGACATCGCTCTCCTATCCTCTTTCCCATTCCCTTTCCCCCCCAGCTTATACTCACCTGTAGGCATTCCGTAACACTGCAGTATACAGTTAAAGAGATACCTGACCTCCAGTTTAGACATTTTTCGTGTATTTATGTGTCAGACACTGTATAACTAAAATGTGGATAAAAGATTGACTACTCGTGGGTATAATTGGTTAGTTTTATTAAATCATCTCATTAGCTTCTTAAATTGGTAATAAATGGGAAAATGATGATGCTTTTCTCTATTTTACTCAAATTCTTTACTCAAGACTTTATTTTGAATTAACTTAGGAAAACTTCTCCTTTAAAAAAAATAAGCTTGCCCTAGCTGGTTTGGCTCTGGATAGAGTGTCGGCCTGCGGACCAAAGGGTTCCAGGTTCGATTCCGGTCAAGGGCACATGCCCGGGGTTGTAGGCTCGATCCCCGGTAGGGGGCGTGCAGGAGGCAGCCAATCAATGATTCTCTCTCATCATTGATGTTTTTATCTCTCCCTCTCCCTTCCTCTCTGAAATCAATAAAAAATATATTTTTTAAAAATAAGCTTATGATTGTTTTTTTCTTTTACTAAAGGCAGCTGGTCTTCATCCAACTGCTGAACAGATTGAAATGTTTGCCTACCATCTGCCTGATACAACACTGTCTAATCTCATTGTAAGTAGAAAATCACTTTAAATCCCTTTCCAAAAGTATTGATATGTTGGCTATTGTAAACAATACTGCAATGAATATGTTTGCACATGGCTGCACATGTCTTTTTTGATTTAGTGTTTTAGGTTTCTTCAGGTAAATACAGTACCCTAAAGTGGCATTGCTGGATCTTTTTGTGTCTCTTGTTATAACCTTTGTTTTAAAGTCTATTTTGTCTGGTATAAGTATTGCTTCCCCAGCTTTTTGTTTGTTTCCATTTTTGTGAAATGCCTTTTCCCATCTCTTTGCTTTGAGTATATGTGTCTTTCTCGCTCAAGTGAGTCTCTTGTAGGCAGCATAGGTGAGGGTCTTTTGTTATCCATTCAGCTACCATGCATCTTTTGATTGGAGCATTTAATCCATTTGTATTTATGTTTTTGATATTTTCTTTTTTCCCCTCTTTCTCTTCTCCCTCTTCTTTCTTTTTCTTTCTTCTTCTTCTTGACTCTAACATTTCTTGTAATACTGGTCTAATGATGATGAACTCCTTTAGCTTTTTCTTGTTTGGGAAGCTCTTTATCTGTCCTTTGATTCTAAGTGTCCATCGAGAGATGAGTGGATGAAGAAGTGGTGCATGTGCACAGTGAAATATGATGCAGCCATATGGAATGAAATCTTGCCATCTGCAACAACATGGATGGGCCTAGAGGGTATTTTGCTGAGTGAAATAAGTCAGAAAGAGAAAGGCAAATGCCATAGACTTCACTTATATGTGGAATCTAAAAATAAAATAAATGAACAAGTAGAACAAAAACAGACTCATAGATATAGAGAATATTTTGACAGTTGCCTGATGGGAGTGGGGTTGGGGGAATTGGTGAAAAAGATGAAGGGATTAAGAAGTACAAATTGGCCCTAACCGATTTGGCTCAGTGGATAGAGCGTCAGCCTGAGGACTGAAGGGTCTCAGGTTCGATTCCGGTCAAGGGCATGTACCTTGGTTGTGGGTGCATCCCCAGTAGGGGGTGTGCAGGAGGCAGCTGATTGATGTTTCTAACTCTCTATCCCTCTCCCTTCCTCTCTGTAAGGGAGGATATTGATTTTATTGTTAAAAATCAATAAAATATATTTAAAAAAAGAAGTACAAATTGGTAATTATGGTCATGGGGATATATAGTACAGCAAGGGGAATTTAATCAATAATTTTTAATAACCATGTATGGTGTCAGATGGGTACTAGGTTTATCAGGGTAATCACTTCATAAGTTATTAGATGTCTAATCCCTGGGTTGTACACTAATATAATATTGTACATCTACTATAATTGAAAAATAAAAAATTGGAGCATTTGAAACCTTGCTTCCCTGCAACTGTCATCAGTTTTGGCTCAAATAAACTCATAAAAATGCTCAAAAAGAAAAAACAAAAATGTTGATACGTCAGATAATTACTAGTTAACCTCATGGGTATGAATGGATAGGCTGTTTTTGTGAAGTTGCTATATATGAAGTTTATGTTGAAAGTGAAAACTTTCAAAATCGTTTGGGACTTTTGTCTGAGTATTTTAGGTTGGGAAGGTTATGGAGGAATTATTAGCTTGAGGGGGCAATGAATAAAGCAGGCCTTTCTAGAAGTCTGTTATGGCTTAAAGAGGTGGTTGTTTGTAGATGTGAGTACTTTATTCATGCCCAGTTAGGCAGTCCAGTAATTTAATATGTCTTTTTCCCCCCTAGGATATTTTTGTAGACTTTTCACAAGTTGATGGGCAGTATTTTGTCTGCAATCTGGATGATTTTAAGTTTTCTGCGGAGTTGATCCAGCATATTCCATTAAGCCTGCGAGTAAGGTATGTGTTCTGCACAGCCCCTATCAACAAGAAGCAGCCTTTCGTCTGCTCTTCACTGTTACAGGTAAGCCTGCATCTTTAGGATATTTTGAGTTGTATTTTCCCCAAACAGTACTTTGTTACTCAAAACAGTTGGAGACTGTCCTTTAATATGAGATAATATGTAAGAACTTAAATATAAAGTGACTTTTTCTTACAAATAATTTTTTGCTTTGTATTTGGGCTTATGTGGTAGCCTTTGTGAAGAAGCTAAAACAAAAACAATTAAATACAATTTTTTTCAAGGAAAGGGGGTCTTTGCCTGATGATACACTTTTTCCTTATTGGTGATGGGTAATATTTTTGGAAGGGAGGGGCCAGGGGTTTAGTAGTGGCAATAGTATTCAGTTTTCTTAACCATAAGACACTGAGCCAGGGAATGTTGTCTTGCATGAGTTTGGTGCCAGAGTTCTGGTTCCTTTTATTTTCACTCATGTGAGTAGGGA